TATATAAAGTCAAGAAATATTTTTTGCAATTAAAATATTTTTGTGTTGAATGTGTATTTACTTATACTATTCTTCATAAAATGCATTCTATCCAAATCTTATAATATTATTCTAAGAGTTTCCATGTCTTGTGTCATATTCAAGACTTCTCGTGTAACGCATTTGCATATATAAAACTCAGTTAATTAGTAGTATATAATTTGTGTATGGTTTCCTCAAACTTTTCAACTATTGCACAAAATTTTCCTAACAAAAATTGGCATTTTAATCTAGATTTTTCTGAATATTGTAGCTCTTGGAACTTGTGTGAAGAAACAGAGTGACTCAATTTCGTCCAAGTAATATCATAATACTTGTAAAGTTTACAAATATAGTCGAGTTGGGTTGGTTAGGTTTATTCGATTTTCATGAGTTAACCGATAACCCGACTCGACCGACCCGATCCGCCTGCACAACCAACCCACCCAACCCGTGCAAAAACAAAAAAAAAAATTGACCCAAATAGGTTAGGTTTGTTCGTTTTGAGCGATTTTGACGGGTTCGGTCGGGTTTTGCTCACCCCTAGGAAGGAGCGCTCAGGTTTAACTTATATTGAGAATAAGACTTATCTCCTGTTTGGTAAAGATTAAATTAGATTTTTAGTAGATTTTGATAGAAGTTAATAAAATGTGTGGTTAAAAAGTTGTGGGTTCTATGAAATGTGTGGTTAAAATTAATTGTTACTTTGGCTTGAAATTTTAATTGGATTTTAGTCCAAACCAAACAAGGGCTTAATTTGTTATTAGTACTAGTTTTTTTAAGATAATATTAGCGTCTTGAATGCTAAGATTAGATAAGAGACTGTATTACAAAATTTTCATTCATACATTTGTATAAAATAAATAAATTATCAAATAGAAAGACAAAATTTGTCTGATTTAATTCAGTACCACATAATGCATTGAAAAACCATTTTAATTTCTAGGCGTGCTTCATAGTTTAATGCAAAGCAGATACTTATAAATGTTAGATCATAATAGAACTAAAGCATCCGCTAATCCTTCCACTTGAAAAAATAAATGGCAAGAAACAAATTAATGAAAAGAAAGACTACAACTTGTCGATTATATTCAGTAGCACATTATACTACTAAGATTTTCTATGTGGTTCCAAGTTGTTATTTGCATAAAGGTGGATATCAAAGTTTTATCAAAGCACGGAAAGATGAAGATCAAACAACATATCGAATGGTACAAGAATAATACAGTTGCATTAAATTGAATACCATTGTCGAAACAGAATGAGTTGCTCATATCTGCATGTTAATATCTCGCGGAATATTAGCTACAAACTCCCCTGCACATAAAGCAAAAAGTAAAATTTATTGATCGACATTTTTTTCATTTACCATTAATCCCTTGTGTACAATAGATATTTTAATTTCACATGTTTTCATTTTTTCATCTTTTTAAGATCAAATAGATTCAAAGTATTAACATCTAATAAAAAGATAACAATAATAAAAAAAGGACCATGCTACATGCACTACATGGTTCACGGCCCCACAGCCGACCCTCCAATAGGGCGTCGCCACTTGGCGATGTAGTCAACCATGAAGTACATGGTGTAGTACATATAGCTTAATCCATAAAAAAAATAGTAGATGAATGCATGTGAAAGGATGTGTTCAGAAAAAATCCAATCCTATCGAAAAGATGAACCTTTTATGGCATCTATTATAGAATTATACCAAGACTTCTCATAAAACATGTCCAAGACTGCTAAGTCAAGTACTGCTAAATCAAGTAATACAGACAAAAGTTTATGAAACCCCTCACGAAAGCATCTAGATTAATTATGCTATGTCTTGATATTCTATACATTACTCATATAAGACCCACACTACGGGTCATCTGTAAGGGCGGGAGAAGGATTGGCTTTGGACATTAATACCAGGGTTCAAAATTTCAAATGTCTATGAAGTTCAGATTGCTACTATTGCAAAAGAAAGAGTGAGATATGTTCTTGCTGAGGGGAGGGGTGGGGGCTCTATGGAGTGGAGGTAGGGGTGATGTGGGATTGGGTTGCAAAGTGTATATACAAAAGAATCTTATTCTGCTGTCATTATAGCTCTCTTATAATTTGCAAATTTTTTGACGTTAGCTTTAGATTTCATTTTCATTAATCACATTGAAGACTTTATCAATAATGCAACAATTAATGCTAAACAATAATAGTGAGTATTGGATAACTAACCTTGTTGGCCTCAAATTCATTCAGCAACTTGGAACATAATGAAAAGTTTGAAATTTTAGATTATAAACAAAAATTGTATTCACTTCAAAAATTGCATACTAATTTTCAAAAATAAATTCCTAACCAAATGAAGTTTGCTTATAGATTAAACCCAACAACTTCATCATAGACAATGAGAAAAACCAGCGCATTTAGAAAATGAAAACCCAAATCTTGAACAAGTAATTTGTTATTGAAGATGTCCCTTCACAAATTTTGAGATTTAAACAAATTTTATGAGAGAAAAATAAAAACTTACCTTATATTGATCATGAGAACATAGACGAAACAGGTCGTTAGAACTTTAGGGCAAAAGAAAGTGCTTCAGACGGATCTCCCCTTAGCTCGGCAAACGATCGCAGAGGAAAAAAGAGAGCCTTCGATAGGAACTTAACGGTGGAGAAGTGTGAAGTCATTTGTGCTTCAGGCGATTTGTCCTTCGAACTTTTGGGTTTACCCAAAGGTATTTAAATCTTACCTTCTCATTAAGTCGGCGGACTTCACAGCAGAAAACGACGAAAATCAACAAAAAAAAAAAACATAGCATAACATATTAGGGAAACGAAAATTATCAAAACAAATTAGATCTCAAAGTTTATGTTCGAACAACAGTAAATCTTACCTTTTGAGCAACTTGATAGATTTTGCAACATAAAACAGGTAGGAAATGAACAAGAACAAGCATAGTACATATTAGGGAACAAGAACACACAAGTGAATCTACAAAAATTTCTGTGAGAAAGAGTGAAGAATATGAAAAGGCGATTTCTAGGGTTTCTTTCTTTGACTCGAAGATGGATACGGTCTTATCTCAATGATCATTATTCCAGAGGACAAATGAATGGAAGATATAATACAAAGAGTGTAGATAGAGATATTATTGGGTCTCATGTACAGTGAAAGTAGAGAAAGAAAAAAAATAATAACGGTGAGAAAATAGAGATGAAAACTCGTTTATGAACAATGCCATCTGATTAAGTGTGAACATGAGTGCTACAAAAATAACAGTGATAGGTCGCGGGGTCGATGGGACAGTGGGGGCAACGCCTTCGACGGGGATCGACTTGTCCGGTCAAGTTGTGGGGGTCGAGGGGGCAGCGCCCCTCGTGGGGGCTCGGGAGGCAACGTCCCCGACGGGGATTGACCTGCTCGATCAGGTCACGGGAGTCGAGGGGACAGCTCCCCTTGGAGGGCAACGCCCCGGATGGGGATCGACTTACCTGGTCGGTCGTCGGGGTCGAGGGGACAATGCCCCTCGGGAGGCAACGTCCCCGACAGGGATCGACCTGCCCGGTCAGGTTGTCGGGGTCGAGGGGCAGCGCCCCTCGTGGGGGCTCAATAGGCGATGCCCCCGACGGGGATCAACTTGTCATGTCTGGTTGTGGGGGTCGAGGGATAGCGTCCCTCATGTGGGTTCGGGAGCAACGTCCCCGACGGGGGTCGACCTGCCCGGTTAAGTCGTGGGGGTTGAGGGGGTAGCGCCCTTCATGAGGGCTTAAGAGGCAACGCCCCTGACGGGGATCGACCTGTCCGGTCAGGTCGCGGAGTCGAGGGGGCAGCGCCCCCCGACGGGATAGGTGGAATTTTTATTTAAGATTTTACTTTCTCAATAAACAACAAAAAATTATGTATTCAAAGAGAATTCGAAAGTCCCGAGCCATGCCGCAACCCATGTGTTGCTTTCCAGTAACAGAAGACTGAGTTCTCTCTGCGGCATCATATGCCACTACAGTGAGCTACATATTTCACATAAACCCATTTTTTCTCCTGCACAATCATCGATACTTTATCATCCTGTTATTTGCTGAGTCAAGGGTGTCTTCTAAGCGTTAAGTGTATCCACCTAAAAGAGAATTGCGATCAAAGTTACGAGTACGAAATTATAAAATGATAGTCTCAGTATCTCCTGAAATTGACTATTAGAGTATGTTTGGCTGAACTTATAAAATTTACTTAAAAGTAAATAAGCAAGTTTTAAAATAAATACCTTTTGTTGGTGACAAGAAAGAGTTATTTTAAAAGTAACTTTTGACGCTAAAATGTAAGTTATCAAACATGTTTTTGAAAAAAGCTTCAAAAAAAGCAATGTTGTTTCAGAAAGGTTATTTGAGGCTTGCTATCTCAAAGTTTATGTTCGAACAACAGTAAATCTTACCTTTTGAGCGACTTGATAGATTTTGCAACATAAAACAGGCAGGAAATGAACAAGAACAAGCATAGTACAGATTAGGGAACACGAACACACAAGTGAATCTGCAAAAATTTATGTGAGAGAGAGTGAAGAATATGAAAATGCGATTTCTAGGGTTTCTTTCTTTGACTCGAAGACGGATACGGTCTTATCTCCATGATCTTTATTCCAGAGGACAAATGAATGGAAGATATAATACAAAGAGTATGATAGAGATATTATTGGGTCTCATGTACAGTGAAAGTGGAGAAAGAAAAAAATATTAACGGTGAGAAAATAGAGATGAAAACTCGCTTATGAACAATGTCATCGAATTGAGTGTGAACATGAGTGCTACAAAAATAACAGTGATAGGTCGTGGGGTCGATGGGACAGTGGGGGCAACGCCCCCGACGGGGATCAACTTGTCGGATCAAGTTGCGGGGGTCGAGGGGGCAGCGCCCCTCGTGGGGGCTCGGGAGGCAACGCCCCCGACGGGGATTGACCTGCTCGGTTAGATCGTGGGGGTTGACGGGACAGCGCCCTTCGGAGGGCAAAGTCCCCGACGAGGATCGACCTGTCCGGTCAGGTCGTTGGGGTCGAGGGGGCAGCGCCCCTCGTAGGGGCTCAGTAGGCAATGCCCCAGACGGGGATCAACTTGTCCGATCTGGTTGTGGAGGTCGAGGGATAGCCCCTCTCATGGGGGTTCGGGAGCAACGCCCCCGACGGGGATCGACATGCCCGGTTAGGTCGTGGGGGTTGAGGCGGTAGCGCCCCTCATGGGGGTTTGAGAGGCAACGTCCTTGATGGGGATCGACCTGCTCGGTCAGGTCGAGGGGACAGCGCCTCCGGACGGGATAGGTGGAATTTTTATTTCAGATTTTACTTTCTCAATAAACAACAAAAAATTATGTATTCAAAGAGAATTCGAAAGTCCCAGGCCATGCCGTAACCCATGTGTTGCTTTCCAGTAACAGAAGACTAAGTTCTCTCTGCGGCATCATATGCCACTAAAACGAGCTACATATTTCACATAAACCCATTTTTTCTCCTGCACAATCATCGATACTTTATCCTCCTGTTATTTGCTGAGTCAAGGCTGTCTTCTAAGCGTTAAGTGTATCCACCTAAAAGAGAATTGTGATCAAAGTTACGAGTACGAAATTATAAAACGATAGTCTCAGCATTTCCTTAAATGGACTATTAGAGCATGTTTGGATGAACTTATAAAATTTACTTAAAAGTAAATAAGCAAGTTTTAAAATAAATACCTTTTGTCGGTGACAGGAAAGAGTTATTTTAAAAGTAACTTTTGACGCTTAAATGAAAGTTATCAAACATGTTTTTGAAAAAAGCTTCAAAAAAAGCAACGTTGTTTTAGAAATGTTATTTGAGGCTTGCACCTTGAGTCCCGCTTCACTTGAAGCTTACATTCCACTCCACGCAACATACAACTTAAGTGCCATTTGTTAAGTCTTGTTACTGTTTTAGAAATGTTATTTGAGGCTTGCACCTTGAGTCCCGCTTCACTTGAAGCTTACATTCAACTCCTCGAAACATACAACTTAAGTGCCATTTGTTAAGGCTTATTACTCAACGCTCAGTACTACTAAGGTGCGTGCTCATTTGCCTCCTGTTTTCTAGCCATTTTATTACTAACCTCAAACCTTTTGAGTTCTGTTATGTGATATTTTGTAGTTTTTAGTCTTATTTTTCGTTTGGGACACCCTTCAAGAAGGTAGAATATTATATTAGATTGGAAACTTACGAGTCTTGTTATTACTAACAAGGGATTGAACTTAATAGACTCTTGATTATTGAATCCCGTAATGTATCTTGTAGTAGTTCGAGTTGTGAGAGGCTCTAGCTAAAACAACGGCCCATATTCTAGATTTTTTGTCTTTTATTGATCAGAGTGTCATTATGACCATCTGTTAATGATTGGATTATTTTTGTTTGATGAAGATGGCAAAAGAAAAGCGCTTAGAATACTTTTGTTATGAATGTAGCAAAGTATTTGGTAGTGAAAATGCGATGGACACACAATGATTCAAAGCACAAAACTCCTTTAGCAAATGGTGTTAAATGTAAAATTTTCAGCAAATTAAAATTCATTGTTCCTACTGTAAGTAGGGATAAAATTTTTCAACAAATTCAACAGGGTTGTGGTGTTAAAATGGGCTTGAAAATGAATTAGGTTTTGGTTGTGCTTGGAATCGAGGTGTGGGGTGGGTGGGGTATGGAAGAAGATAATTACGGGGTTGGTTGGTTGTAGTGGGGGTATGATAATGTGTTTTTAAATTTAAAAATAATTATAACCTGATTATTGAATAAAAATCATTAGCAACTGATTTTTGAAACAGAAAATTAAAATGTAGGGTTTTAGGTAATTTTTCCAAAGTTTAGTATTGATTGTTTGGATCAAAGTCATTCGATGACTTGCAAAAAAGAAAGGTCTCTCTTACGATTTATTTATGCTCAAGAATGATAAAGCCTTTAATAAAGATCCCAACAACCAAAAAGACGAAGTCAAAATAATTACAATTCAATGTAGAAATGAAAAATCTATAAATCTTATACATCAAGATTTAAATAATATATTACATAATGTCATGTGACATTTTATCATTTATCGATTTAAAATACAATCAATTTTTTCATCGAATTTATTTTCCTCCACATCATATTATGTAATCTATTGTGTACATTTTTTATGGACAAGTAGCAAAATTCTTGCCAAGTTCGCCTTTTGTGATTCCCATGAATTTATCCTCTTTGTTACCAAGATTTGCTTTTTTCGATCGTCATGAGTGGTAAGATTTTATTCTTGTGATTGTCCTGATGGGTTAATAGTCGACCTTTCTACCACTTGACTACTAAGAAACAACGAACTTAAAGAAATCAATCCTCGATCTTTGGATCAACCCATGACTAGTTTGATTTTCAAGTTTGGTTTCTTGATTGTTATGTTTATTGGGATTCATACTTTGAATTGTCACGAGTTTGTGAAATCTTTTAACTTTGATTACCACGATTTATGAGATTGCTACAATCTATCCCTTGTTTGTCATCCTTAAAATTTTAAAAAAATTGTTTTAAATAATATTTTTTAGAGAATGTGTGGTTAAAAAGTAGGAATTTTTTTTTTAAATTTACGAGTAAAATATTTTATTATGTGAATTTTGATTAAAATGAGTATGAGAAATTAATTAAATTAAAGTAAATGATGTCAAATAGGGGCCTAATTAACTCTCTCTTTTCTATATGTTGCATCTTTTATTTTGAATGTAGATGTTTACATTTTTTGCTGTTTTTAGTTTTTTACTTAAGTAAAAATTATTTTTAAATAAATTTTAAAATGCTACCTGTTTTACTTTTAAGTTATGCTCAAAATAGTGTTCATTAAAATTTTAAAATAAGCAGCTTTTTTTATTTTAGCTTCAAAATTATTCTTTATAATTGACTTATAAGTAGATTATCTAAGCGTAACCAAACATTAAAGAACCTTTTGTTATATAAATGGCAGAAGATTCTCATTTTTATCTCAGCCAGTTACAATGGCGTCTTCTCTCTCCCCTCCGGAGGTCCCTATGGAGCTCCACGTCAAGAACAGAGAGAAACTCCTTAAATCCCTAATTCAGCACCTCACTACCTCCTCTCGCCCTCTCCAAGGCTTCGTCTTTCTCCAGGTTTCTCATTTACTCTTTATTTTATTCGATTAAAAGTTTTGATTTGTTTATAGAATTATTGAAATCGGAATACGTTCTTTTGTTAGGGTGGTGAAGAGCAAACGCGTCATTGCACCGATCATACCGAACTCTTCAGGTTCTTTATAATGGATATTATATTTGATGCATCCACTACTCCATTTGTGGTGCGTGCTTTTGAATATTGTTTAAAGTTGCGTTTGCAGTATGGAATCAGTGTCTTGAGATTGGAATTGGTGAAAAGTTAATGCAAAATCTTCCCATTTTGAGGCCCCTGTTTTATATGCCTTAAAAGTGTATTATTGTCTTCAAGTTTAATTGTCTAAAATCTTAAGCTTTGATGTGTTCTGGAGAAGGTTACAAGATTTCATACGAGGAAGTTGGAGAGAAACCTCTATATTATCCACTAATTTTATTGTGGCAAAGATAGCTCAACGAAATTGTAGTTTTGCTGATGTCAGGTCATTTAGAACACGAATGCTTGATTTTGAGTTAATGAGAACAAGACAACTATTGGTGTAATGCATTTGTAAGCAAATGTCTGAAACATTAAAAACATTTTATTTTTTATTATTTCGAGTTGTTGGATTTCTGGCCTTCCTTTTGGTATACTATCAAAGCCTATGGTATATTTTATTTATATAAAATCACTTTTCGAGCTATATGTGGTGGAAAATCGGTAATTGAAAATTTGTTAACCACGGTGAAGAGCTTGGCACTTACTTTTTCGTTATTGTATCGTACTTAGTGTAATGACCCGAGCTTCTGTGCTTTGTCTAATTGGTACCATTATTTAACTTAAATCTCTCATAAGTCAGAGATCTTAGATTCGAATCCTAGGGGATGCGATAAATATATGTGAAAAGTAAGATGAACTCATGTTCTTCCAAAGTAGATAATATGTAAGTTTACAACTTGAGCATAGAAGCTTGGGTCGTTATAAAAATGCACGTTTTTGGTTTAATTGGTATTAAAATTCAATTTAAGTCACCTACAAAGCAGAGGTCGGGGGTTCGAATCTTGAAGGACGAGACAGAAATTCGTGAGGGGTAAGATAGACTCAGACACTTTCAAAGCGGACAATACGTAAGTTAACGGTTTGGACATAGAGACTCGATTATTACAAAAAAACATGCATTTTTTGTGACGATGTTGCTTCTCTGTCCAAATCGTTATGTTATATATATTGTTCAACTTAAGTCTCTCATGAAGTAAATGTCTTGAGTTCAAATATTGAGAGATGCGATAAAAATCCGTAAGGGGTAAGATGAGTTCAAACTCTTACAAATCAAACAATAATTATGATTTAACAACTTGAGCATAGAGCTCGGATCGTGGTCCTTGTTTGATGGAGCTAAAAGGATTTTGATAAAAAGAAGTGGTGAATCCCACGAAAGGAGTGGAGGAAAAGTGGGTAGTAATTGTGGGTCCTATATAATGTGATTAAAATTAATTGTAGAATTTGACCTCAAACTTTTTAGCATCTTTTTATGTTTTCCCAAACAAGCACTTAATGTTCTTGGTTGTGGTTTCTGTACATAGCTGCTGCAATTGATTATTGTCTCTAAGAAGGATGATAATTGGCTGTTTCGTTGATTTGTAGACAGGAGAGTTATTTTGCTTACTTGTTTGGAGTGCGAGAACCTGGATTCTATGGAGCTCTTGTAAGTTCATTTTAGTAATGTTATGTTTTTGTATTTCATTCCTGGATTTCAGTGTAATATGACAACAGAGATGTTTGATGATCAAGAGGAAATAAATTTGTAAAGGTTTTGGCAAATACTGAATATTTGGAAACCAAGGGATGCTCACACACTTCTTGTTTTGCAATACAGAAATATGTGTTGAAATGTAGAGCCATTTCATCTAGCTCACTAGAATAGAAGGACCATTTTGTTCTGCTCAGCTGATGCCCCGTAGGTGTTTCTTATGACTAACAACTAGCATTGTCGGTTCAATTTTGAACTTAGCCGTTGGCATAAGAGAACTACAGCTGTGCAAGAAATAGATTAGCTAGCATTCTGGTTCCTCAAAGTCACTGGTTTTTGTAATTGATAAATTGAGTCAGGTTAGGCTCTTTAAGAATATGTAGGGAGTTTTTGATGGATTATCCTCTGAATGAGGAACCTTTATGTGATTATTTTCAATTTTTAGATTGGGAGATCATATCTTTCTCAAAATTCTTTATCTTAAAAAGGGGTTATTAAGAGAAATTCACAGGACAATCATCTTGTTGAACTTTTTTTTGGATGAAGGATATTGCAAGTGGGGAATCAATACTGTTTGCTCCGAGATTACCCGATGAGTATGCTGTTTGGTTGGGTGAAATTAAACCATTGTCCTACTTCAAGGTGATTATATTGTCATAAGTTAGTGTAATGTGCACCAAATATATAATGGGTATAACAATTGATTTTGCACCCTTCTCTTGCAGGAAAGATGCATGATTAGTGCAGTCCACTATACTGATGAGATTACAAAAGTTCTGCATCAGCGATACCGAGGATCTGGAAAGCCCTTGCTATATCTCCTGCATGGGCTCAACACTGATAGTAACAATTACTCCAAACCGGCAGACTTTGAGGTTCTCACATCCCCCTTCTCTGATGCTACTTATTTTCTCAATGCAGTATGAAGTGTTATCAGTACTGCAGGGGATATTATAATGCCCATGTTTAGATTTTGATGACGTTGTTAGCTGCTGTATAACTTGGAAATCAGGTATACAGATTTTGAGGGGCAAAAACTTTAGAAATTAAAATATTTGATACATAATTTACCATTGAATACATACACATATACTTTTGAGTGGGCAAACGCTTATGTGTGCATGTTTATATGTACATGCAGATATATTATTTCTGTTTGCTGAAAATGTAAATCCATGGCCTTCTATTGTTTGTCGGGAAAGCAGAATCAAAGAAACATCTTTGGTTATTGTAGAATAACATGTTTTCTATGTGTAAACACAAATTTGTCATAGTAATATTCTTGGTTCTTGTTTTATATTTCAAGGATCAGAAAAATGGGAGAAACAAATGTATACTTGTAGCTCCAAAGAATTAGAACATAGGCAGATGGCAGAATTGGTTTAGACTGAGGATAAACAGTAGCCTATAGCCGATGAATTTTATCACTGTACTTTATTTTAACGTTTCTAGGACCATGTTTGGCTATCGTTTAAAGTGTAATTATCATTGGTCAATCCATTTTTTTATTCACATATCATGGGACCCACAAGTACTACCCACTTATCAACCACTCATTTCTATCAATTTATAATTTAAATAGTTTATAAACAACACCAAAATGCTTTGGACCTGATCATTTATTTTTTCTGGATGAAAATAGTGAGAGATGACAAGGATGATGATACAACTACTAATGAAAATGTAATAAATGGGATTATAACCATTTAACTGGCATAGAGATGACAGCAGTTTCTGTATTATGTGTCATAATGTGTATGTAGAGGTCATGTTTGCTTTATTCCGTTCTACATCTAAATTAGTTTGGGTTTCTTCAAATCTCATATTTCTTTATTCATATGCTATATCGTTTATCTTATCTATACTTGGGCCCTTGGATTTCTTGCAGCAATTTTTCTAGATTTTGATACAAAGATGATGCTATTTGAAGGGGATTACTGATTTTTATGCTTATATATTTATAGGGGATTGACAAGTTTAAGATGGATCTAAATACCTTGCATCCTATTTTGACCGAATGCCGTGTTATAAAGTCGGACCTGGAGCTTAATCTCATTCAGTTCGCCAACGATATAAGCTCTGAAGCTCATGTTGAGGTTAACATTCTTTGTTTATGTAATTATTTAGTTTCATGCCTTTTTTGTTGAGATCTCCTCCCAGATATCTCATATATGAATGTTGGGTGAGAGATTCTATGTTGCTGCTTATTCATCGTGATTAACTGCAGTTTAATGATTCATAGTCCTCGCTATTTCTACGCCTGTATAGAAAAGAACATTGGCTTCTTATATCTATGTGAACAGCAGTTCATGCCAGTTATTAGCAGAACTAGTAATCACATCTTGATTGATTGATTGACAATTGGGGTTTCTATACTTGTAGAACTTGTTTAGTAGATTTTGGCACTGTTGATCCTTATGGTTTCATTGGTATTTAGATTCTTGAAGGTCACATGTGAAAGAGCATTGTACGTTGATATTGCGGTTTGTATTTTCTTACAAACAATTGACCTTAAGACAGATACCTTTTGTTTCAAAAGGTGGCTTATATTCAGATGTGGCTAGGACATTTTCCCCTCTAAATCCTTTCTTTCATTTTGTTATCCCTTACGAGGGAAATAAAAGACCTTCCCCATGATAAAGAGTATCTAAACCTGCCACTTAATATGGCAACAGCCTTTTATCTATCTGTTCCATTACCTTAGAAGGGGAATGGTTTTAATACTACCGCATGAAAATTGGAATGCGGAACCCACTTAATTTAGCTTTTAGTTCGGAAAGTTCGTCTGAGAGCTTGATAGCATTGGAATTTGTGTATCGAGAACCAATAATACTAATTAGGGGCACATGTTGATATTAGCATTGTCATTACTTTCAGTTTATTCTGGTAAGTTCACAATAAAATATGGTGTTGCTATACGTATTTACATGCAAGTTGGAACATAATAGTTTACAAATTCATAATTATCTTATACATGCCATTATTTCATCTTGTTACCAAATTACAATTCCAAATCGTAAATGATCCACAAATCAGATTGCACGATCCAGTTTCTGAGATCACTTGGCATGGGCAGGGTGGATGAATAAAGCATAATAAACTTAAAGTTTCTATTAATTTTTTGACTTGGTATGCAAAATAATTCAATTCTTCCACCAGTGTTTTGAGAGCAATAGAGAAGAATAATGGACAGACCAGATAGTATAAGACTCTTTACTGGAATGAACCTACGTTATCCAACATGTAAAGCTAGGGTCCTGATTGAGCAACTAGCAGTCGCATAACCATCTTCTTCCCTTTAAGTTACCTTTTTCTTCTCGTTTTCTTATCTTTGTTCCACTCATTTGTTCTTATCAATATCGACTTCCTGTGTAAAAATCCTAAAGTAGGATGTAGTTTTCCTTCCTTTTAGGTATGGTTATCTCATGTTTGTATGCATCCATTCTTTTTGTTATGGGTGGAGGTAAAATTATTTTGATTTTCTCTTCTGTGCCTCGAGTAGGTTATGAGGAACACAAAAGTGGGCATGAAAGAGTATCAGTTAGAAAGCTTGTTTCTTCATCACACCTATATGTATGGTGGCTGTAGGCATTGTTCATATACATGTATATGTGCTACTGGTGACAACAGGTAAGTTCCTTATCCTTCTTCTACTCTGCTCTTTTTAGACTCTACGATTACTTTGAACGTTGGAACCACCAATGTTCAGCTTTGGCCTGGGAAGGGAAGGAGTGTAGAAATATCAATAATTAAAACTTTCTATAGTACATGTGGGGATTACAAATTTATTGAATGGTAGACCAATTCTAGTCCTCTTTGTCCAGTCTCTCTTCTTTGTCATAAGTAGTGAAGCTTTAGGGTACTTAGAGGGGCTAAAGGTCCATGCTATTGCACCCTGGGTCTTTTTTCTTCTCTCTGTTCCTTATTATCATAATTTGTAAAATCCCTCGATGTAGCCGGGGCAATAGATTACTAGTCTTGAACATTTCACTTTCTCTTTGCATTTTGCATTTGATGTAACCTAGTTCGAAACGTGTGTGGTGCTTAGGCCTCTTATCATTAATTGCTTCTGGGGCAAAAAAGGGAATGTGTAGCTAAATGCAGTCCCCTGAATGAAATAGCCCTGGTCATTGTTGTCTGAGCTTGAAGCATAAAATGAAATCTTGTCTTTGAGTGGGTAATTCTGAAGTTCAAACAATGTCATTTGCAAGTGTTTTTGTTTGTTTTTGTGTGTGTGTGGTTTGTGGAATATTTGCGGGAAGGCAATTCATTACTTCGTGAAAACATAGGCCTGCTAGTGTAGGTTTCTTTACAATTAAGTAGAACAAGTGACGATATCATAATCATTATAAGCACATTGAGCTATATTCTCCAAGAATGCCATAAAAAATTATCATTCAAAAGAAAGCTCTTAATCTTCAAAGAAATTTCCTTCTATAGTATGTTTATTTCTTTTCTGATTTGGACCTCACAAAAATGGAATGGGTATAATATAGAACAAATTTGTTCAGACCACCAAATTACTTATTTTCCAAAATGCCTGTGTAACATTTTTCAGAATTATCGTGCAACTCTCAGTTTGCTAGGGTGTTGTATCCCATGGTAAGGATTCACTACAGTTTGACTTTGTTTCTGTTAGAAAAGTCACTGAAGAACGAATACATGTCGTTGAGATGCAAAATGGTGATTAAGAAATATGGTTTATTTCTCTAGAAGTAAAGTAATATAAGGACTGTAGGATTATAAATTATGAACTTGCAATTGTATACTTGAGTTGTTTCTCCTGCGTCCTGTTGTGCGCGATGTTCTCACTGTACGCTGCACTTGAGATCATCCATCCTTGTCCATGCTCCTCTGCATGCAATTGAGTTGTTTCTTCTGCATCCTGCGGTGTATGATGTTCTCACTGTCCACTGAAACCTCATGTGTTATTAAGGAATCAAAGAATTCTCATGAGACACAGTTTGATTTTCTTCATTTAACTTCTTATTGTTTGGATAGTACGTTTGAGGTTTGCTACATGTTTCAGTCAAGTTACTTTCACAATGCTTATGACCTTGCCTTTTGTTTTCAACTCTAGCATATGACAGTGAGTTTATTTTTCGAATAAATGTTAGCCTTGAATTTAGAATTTTAAGGTATTGTCACTTGTTTTTCTATTTTCCACGAAACCCACATTACAAAGTATGACTGTATGAGGGAAAAGTTTTTGCAGTCACATCACCTGTAGCTGTTAGAACGGAATGGAAAAATGAAATTTAAGTGGCTGATCTAAAATAGAATTAATATGATTTTGGTGGATTGCATTGCATGTTGGTTGTCTCAGATTCATCTCAACAATCACTGTGTTTCTAAAAGGGAAAGATTTGTGTGTTCGATTTGCTTGCTTGTTTTTCATCCAATGTGTAATTTTGGTGTTTTCTTAAAAAGTTACTTATCATTATTAAATAGATAGGAGTTTCGTTGCTTTAATCATTAGTTAACAGTTCTCTGTCATACTACAGTGCTGTGCTGCACTATGGTCATGCAGCTGCTCCAAATGACAAGGTATGATAACCATTATGTTATTGCCTTTTGCAGATTTATGCATAGCAAGCGAATAGTTTCTTTCCTACAGTGACAGCTCTCTTGTTTTCTTTCTCACTTAAAATTCAAAATTTCATTTACTTGATTTCCATCTATTTCTTCCGTTATTCAAAGGAGGACGAAATTGTATGTAACATGAGATGAAATTAGAAATTGAAGAGAAATAATTGCATGGGAGATCGTACTTTCTCCAATTCAATAAAAGGCCAGTGGAAATAAGATCCTTCTAGTATCCTTCTTTTCTTAGAATTGTTCAGGCTACAATGACATTGAATTAACTGGTCAACCCCAAAGGTGTGCAGTGGTTGAGTGATCATTATGGTTTTGAGTTAAACAATTAATGAACATTAAAGATCAGAAACACTTGCCTGGTTGTGGCTTGTTGTTGTGTGATGTCTTTATTCTCATAATACATAAAAGATGAAATTATATACTTCACAGATACTTCGTATTGCATCAAGCACTTGTCCTTGCATTTTTTTAATGTTTATCCAGGGGCCTTTAACTTATTTTTTTAATCACTTTTACACTAATCTCTGTACATTGTACATAATATTTCAATGAGCTTTCATATCAAGTATGATTTGTTATGTCTTTATCCTTTTGAGACAACATATTTGTTGTAGATAGGAATCTAGTATATGCTGATAGACACAATTATGGTAGGGATGGTTTAATGTCTTTTAGAGTTGATTCTTCTATTCTACAGAGCATTTTCATAGACTTCAGAATATAAGAGCTATATTTAACATCCTATGGTTCATTGCAGACTTTACAAAATGGAGATATGGCATTGCTCGACATGGGAGCTGAATACCATTTTTATGGTTCTGACATAACTTGTTCCTTCCCAGTGAGCCCCAGTATATCTTTTTTCATAGGCACATGCATATTCCATCAATTAATAAAATTTTCTTCTTGCAGTTCAGGATTTTGCAACTGAGGGTGATGCAACACACACACACATGAAAAAATGTGAAATTTACAAAATGTGAAAATTCCATTAATAAAACACCAACAAGGTATAGGCATGTACTTGAGAAGTCACTCGCATAATCTATTATGTCCGTATACTCATGAGAAGATACATCATTTTATGAACTTAGTGCCTTGGTCCCAAAAATAATGTCAATGAAAGATCTACGATAACATGCTTACAGTTTTCTCTGCATTTTCTTTCCTTCTATGACAACCTATGATTCTCTGCAGCCCAGTGTCTCAAATGCGCTATCCTCCACTTATGTATAAACTCCACCAAGTCAGACAACATAGAGCGAACAGAAGAGATTAGAGATCATGATATTTTAGCCACTTCACATAGTGGCAACAAGTGATTTATGGTCCCTTCAGCCCTGGCATAAAGGAGGCTACAGTTAACATTATTTTTCTTCTTCCTTGAATTGTCACCAGCGAGGACCAGGGGCAGATCCAGAAAAAAATTTAAGCCAGGCTAATATGTAAAAAAAAAAAAAAAATTACACAAAATATTTGAATAAGTGAATTGGGCTGTACCCAGTCCCCCCCAAATCCGCCCATGGCGTCATGAACTGCATTCCAAGTAGCAACTTCTTATTTTTGTTTCCTGGGGAGACTGTTTTAGTTCTCAAATTTGCTTCCATGTGAAGACCACATATGGTACCTTTTATAGTGCTCACTAAAATGCCTCAGAAAAGAGATCCCATATTTAGATCCATTCTATGGACCTTCTTGTCCACAGCTGGGGTACCATAATGTTTGTTTATCTACCATATAACATCCTCCAGGCAATAAACCATTGTTCTCCTTTATTTATTTCAGAAAATTGGTATGCTCAATTGATTTTTCAGTCTTGACACAACTATTCAAACTTTATGTGCTTAAATTAGGTCCATATGTGTCTATTTAGGCATCTGGAATACTTTTCAACTTGATTGTAGCATTTTCGTGAAGTGATCCTCTTTACCATGTTATGCAACATTCAGCAAGTGGCTTCTGAATAAGCTTTTGACTGTTTCAAAACAATTTGTCAACCTGGCTTTTTTCCAGAGAGAGTTACTATATGCTATATTTATGTTGAGCCAAGCTTTAGCATACTATTACTCTTGGATTATATTCTTTTCTTTTTTCATTCTGAATGATTTTACCTTTCATGCTTCCTCCTTTTAAGTTTAATATTGTTAATGTTCTCTTTCAGGTCTCAAACTAATTGGTATTTATCAAACTCATTATTAAGGATTCCTATATTTTGTTACACTGCTAAGAAATGTATTGTCCCATTTTTTATATTTGATTAAATAAGTTTATCTTACAGATATCTGATTGTAAGTGCAGGTGAATGGGACATTTACTCGGGATCAATCCCTGATATACAATGTGAGTGTTTTTTTTCTGTTGAACGTAGCTAATGTATATTGCTCAGGGTTTGTCTCAACTAAAACAATAAAAATGAAATTATACTGCTGCTTGTAAATTTTTGCTTCAAGGCTTCCAACTCGAAGTTTGTTCAGTCTGAATTGAGTTTCTCATGAGATTCTGGAATCTTATAAAGACGATACTATATCAGTACAGCACCGTGTTTGTACTTCCTGTCACAAGAAACCCTAACTCATATTGCGATGCAGACACTAGTACATTCATGAATGAATGGGATAATAATATTGTATTTGTTATGAATGTCATTGTTCATGCTTTGCTGACTATTATTCCAGTGTCAGTTATGAGACCACCATAGATTATCAAATTCTATAAACCGAGTAACCATAATTGGAGAATTCACAAGCATCAAGTTTAGGAGGTCTTGTTTGGCCGTCTCTAGTAGCTCAATTTCTTTCAAGCACTTATGCAAAGGATTAATTCCTTGTGGTCTCATTTATAACTTGGTTTGTTGCTGATTTTTAAATTTGCAGGCTGTCCTTCGTGCTCACAATGCTGTCATATCCAGTATGCGGCCTGGAGTAGGATGGGTTAATATGCACAAGTAAGACCCCGTAACTATAATGTTCAGCGAGAGTAAATGACAGTTATTGAAAGTCGGGGTCATAGAAGAAAGATTAATTTTTCTTTTGGGAAATTCTGTTCTGCATGAGTTCAGGTTGTACTGTGGTATATTGTTTGATCTGTATTAGTGTTGCGTCTACACACTTTCTGGAGAATGGGTTTTATATGAATCTGTTGTGTACATGTTGCATCCCCGTAATTAAGAAAATATATCCTGAAATTCATTATTTTGTCTGGCTGCTTATGCTTTTCCCCTGATTATTAGATTAGCTGAAAAAACTATCCTTGAGTCATTGTATGAAGGAGGCATTCTTTGCGGGTATGTATATTTTCTCGATGGTATACTTTCATTGTTTACTTCATGTAAAGGCAAAGAACTAAATTCTAAACTGTCCATGGTTCTTTGATATTTGACCAGCGATATCGATGCTATGATTCATGAGAGACTGGGTGCTGTTTTCATGTCTCATGGCCTGGGACACTTTTTGGGAATCGATACCCATGATCCTGGGGGTTACCTACAGGTTTTAGTGATAATTTTATCACTATGTTTTTGACCGTTTGCAAATTGCAGTAAATTTTACTTTGTTTCTTACACACTGAGATAAAATGCCCGATTTTAGGGAGCGGAAAGACCAAAAGAACCTGGATTGAAGGCTTTGCGTACAGCTAGAGAACTATTGGAGGGAATGGTACGTTGAAGCAATTATTCTAGTGTTCTATAGCGTAATTTTTCTGTAGATAAGAAAAAATTGAGACCCTCTTTTATTGCTACATGGCATAGTCATTTGTTTGAGGTGCATTTCTTGTTTATTCTGTATTCCTGAAATATGTATAATAAAAATTAGCAATATTCAGGTCCCAGTCAGCTCTTAACCTAATACGGTTTAAAATCAGCTCAAGATTTGTTCCCATGACAATAAACCTTATGCATAAATCCATATTTATATTTCTCTGTTTCCAAGCTTGTTCATTAGCAGATAGCTCATTGCTAAGGGATTACACATTTGAAGGAAATACTAAGATATGCTATTAATCAAACTTAAATTGTTAGTCATGATGGCCTTCTTTATCTTATCATCTGGTCTTGGAACTTGAATGCAGTAGAACTTCACTGTGATTTTGAATGATGGTTGCACTATGGAAATGCAGAATATTTAACAGTATTCGATAGCTTAAATTGTGAATTATTGGACTTCAATTTTTAGCAATGGAAAATATACTCAATACTTGAATTCTTTGGGATCATAATTAGAAATCATATCATCTTATCATTTTATCTCAAGACATAAATGCTTCTGAATGACAATTATTCAGGGACGTTGAACACTAAATTATCTTGAATGATTTAACCACAGGTGATAACTGTGGAGCCTGGATGTTACTTCATTGATGCTTTGTTAGTTCCTGCAATGGAAAATCCGAAAACATCGAAATATTTTAACCTTCAAGAGATAAACAAATTTAGAGGTTTTGGTGGTGTTCGAATCGAAAGTGACGTGGTATTTCCTCTGCTAGCCTTCTTGATTATTTTAATTGTTTTTTAATTTAAAATTTCTTTATATCTACAAAAAAATCTGTTGTTTGTAGTCTCAATTTTACACGGATTGAGCAGATATCATAACATCTTGAAGGTAGATGTGCTTGTCAATGTTATAACATCTTGAATCTAGACGTGCTTAGTTTGTCCATATAAAATTGCTATTATGCCTCCTTTTGGTTTAGATAAAAATTAGATTTTAAATAGATTTTGATAAAAGTTGATGAAATGTGCGACTGAAAAGTTGATAAAAATTGTGGGTTACATGAAATGTGTGGTTGAAAATGAGATCGAGGAAAATTGAGTTTTAGAAAATGATGACCAGACATGGGCTATATAAAGTGATATAATTTTCAAGACTGCGCTAATATAATCCACAATCGACAGTGATATGCATGTGCACATTACATGTATAAATACCACTAATGAATGCACTCTTCACGATTATCACATCTATGTAAATCGTTCTTATTTGTTGCTATCTTTTGTACGTCTTCAGTATGTCACCTCGAGTGGTTGTGTGAACATGACCAAGTGCCCGCGGGAGATACAAGATATTGAAGCAGTAATGGCTGGTGCACCCTGGCCTATACCCAAGACAACTATTTCTTCTGCAAATGGAGAAATCTAATCTACCAAGTACCTAAATTGAGCTTGCCAGATAATAATTGTAGTTTCCTTTACAGAACTATGAAGCTCATGCATATTCCCTTCTTGTGATTCGAAGTTCTAAAGAAAACTTGAAGCAATGAAAACACTGGTTGTCAGCTGGGCAACTGTTTAGATTTAGTCAGTACTTCTCTATCTGCACTAAAAATTGTACAAGCTTTGAATAAGGAGTTCTAATTATATAAATTATAACTCTATATTATGCATGCTCTGGTTAATTGAGGAGAGAAACGTTATATCATGACAGACTTCTTTTTGAATTTGTGATTTTTCTCTTGCACTTGGACTTGGACTTGTGATTTCTCTTGAATCTGATTTCCTATTTATAGAGAAATTTAGTAACGACGTTTTATAACTATCCAATTATATTTAAATTGAATATTAATTAATTATAATCATCTGTTCTAAAAAAAGTAGGATGATTTTTATTTTTTTAATTTTTTTTTCCAAGATGTGCCTTTTTTTTTTTAGTTGGTCTATTTTGAATTTTGCTTTAGTAGACTAAAGACTTTTAATGAACTTAAATAAGATAATTATCTAAAATTGGGCCAATCCAAAATATTTTTTAATGTCTATAAATGCCCCTCAAAATTATCAATTAAGCCTCTGTTTGGTGCACATTTTGAGTTCAGAATGTATTTTTGTTGTTTGATGTGATGAGGAATATGTATTTGAAAAAGAAGGAAAAGTTATTGATGTAATGAAAAATATAATTTTATTGAAAAATGTGTGGTTAAAAATGAGTAGAAGAATGAGAATGAAAAAAAATAATGTAGTTTAAACATGAGCTTATTAAGAAATTAAATGAATAGATAATCTTGAATTTTGTATTTTGTTTAGAATTTGATTAAAAGATTTAACAAATTTCTTAATTTTTTTATTTACCCATGTGACTGAAGTATGGAGAAGAGTTCAAATTGGACTAAACTAGACAAGGCCAATACATGTTTAAGGGGAAAACAAAAATTGAAATCCAATTTTTTTTTTTTAATAATCATATAAATCTGACACTTTAAAATTTGGAACATATTAGAATTTAATTTAAAGATAAAACTCTTTTTAGATTTATTCTTTGTTTTTATTTTTCTACTACTTTTATTGATTTAAAGTTCTATCTAAACTTGGACCCTTTTTGTTTTGATTCTTGCTTGGTTCATAGGGGTCAGGCAAGACACGGGTGAGGGCCCACATTATTTATTATTTATTTTTTAAATACATGTGGGACCGCCCCTTTGTGAGGGGCTGTGAAACATTATACTGTACACTGAGCATTATTCTTTCAAAAATGCTAAACGGGCAGGGTCGGTGATCGACCAAAAAACAGGGCGCCACCTTGGTCCTTGATTTTTACTGTTGAAAATCAGATTAAGGGTCGAAATGAAGCCACCTCGGGTCTCGGCCCCCTATTTTTGGGTTGGTCACCGACCCTATCACTGTAGCGTATCTCCCTCTTTTTTTATTTTGATATCCAGGTATCCCAACTAACACCAGATTATGTCCTGGACCACCCATTCCCGGCCCCGCAGTGATGGGTGTTGTTTAGATTTAGTCAGTACTTCTCCATCTGCACTAAAAATTGTACAAGCTTTGAATAAGGAGTTCTAATCATATAAATTATAACTCTATATTATGCATGCTCTGGTTAATTGAGGAGAGAAACGTTATATCATGACAGACTTCTTTTTGAATTTGTGATTTTTCTCTTGCACTTGGACTTGTGATTTCTCTTGAATCTGATGTCCTATTTATAGAGAAATTTAGTAACGACGTTTTATAACTATCCAATTATATTTAAATTGAATATTAATTAATTATAATCATCTGTTCTAAAAAAAGTAGGATGATTTTTATTTTTTTAATTTTTTTTCCTAGATGTGCCTTTTTTTTTATTGGTCTATTTTGAATTTTGCTTTATTAGACTAAAGACTTTTAATGAACTTAAATAAGATAATTATCTAAAATTGGGCCAATCCAAAATATTTTTTAATGTCTATAAATGGCCCTCAAAATTATCAATTAAGCCTATGTTTGGTGCACATTTTGAGTCCATAATGTATTTTTTTTGTTTGATGTGATGGGGAATATGCGGTAGAAAAAGTAGGAAAAGTTATTGATGTGTGAAAAATATTATTTTATTGAAGAATGTGTGGTTAAAAATGAGTAGAAGAATGAGAATGAAAAAAATAATGTGGTTCAAACATGAGCTTATTATGAAATTAAATGAATAGATAATCTTGAATTTTGTATTTTGTTTAGAATTTGATTAAAAGTTGATCTCTTGTCTTTAGATTTAACAAATTTCTTAATTTTTTTATTTACCCATGTGACTGAAGTTTGGAGAAGAGTTCAAATTGGTCTAAACTAGACAAGGCCAATACATGTTTAAGGGGAAAACAAAAATTGAAATCCAATTTTTTTTTTTTTTAAATAATCATATAAATCTGACACTTTAAAATTTGGAACATATTAGAATTTAATTTAAAGATAAAACTCTTTTTAGATTTATTCTTTGTTTTATTTTTCTACTACTTTTATTGATTTAAAGTTCTATCTAAACTTGGACTCTTTTTGTTTTGATTCTTGCTTGGTTCATAGGTCCCTGCCAGGCAAGACAGATGTGAGGGCCCACATTATTTATTATTTATTTTTTAAATATATGTGGGGTCACCCCTTTGTGAGCGGCTGTGAAACATTACTTTGTACACTGGGTATTATTCTTTTAAAAATGTTAAACGGACAGGGTCGGTGACCTACCAAAAAATAGGGTGCCACCTTGGCCCTTGATTTTTACTGTTGAAAATCAGATTAAGGGTCGAGATGAAGCCACCTCAGGCCTCGACCCCCTATTTTTGGGTTGGTCACTAACCCTATCACTGTAGGCATCTCCCTCTTATTCTTTTGTTTTAACGCCAGGGAGAGAGAGAATTCTGATCTGAATCATCTGATGCCATGGGTATTGTGGGGCCATTACACGTGGATCAAATCAACCAATCAGAAACAACAGGACACGTAAGAATCTTTGCACTATAACATACGATGTCGTACCACTCTAATGAAAGAAATTCCTCAGAAACACTGAACATCAAGATTTAACGTCCTTCCTACGGAACAATTGTAGAGAGAGTGAGAGAGAAAGGGAGTAATGGCGAGATTTGATCGAGCTTCTTTATTGTTAGTGTTAAGCGTAACAGTGATAATGTCATCATGGATACCAATATCACAGTGTGCGAAGAAACCAGTTGGGGTGGCAAGGAAAGAGGACATACCATTCATAAAATGTCAAGTCTGTGAAAAGTTGGCATCTCAGCTGTATCACCAAGTCCAAGTTAAACAAGCCAAGATCTCGCCCAAAAAAGTAATTTTATTTTCTGAGTTTATCCGTAAATTCTTCAATATGTTAATACAAGAACTGGGCAACTTATATTTGTTAAAGAGAGTAATTTTATTGTCTAGGTTTATTCTTAAATTCTTCAATATGTTAATTCAAGAACTGGGCCACTTATTCTCGTTAATATTATCTCTCTCTTTTGCTGAATTTTTGTTTTATATTCAATTTTCTAGTATATATTGTTGTGCCTTTGAGTAGTGGTACTGTTCCATCAGGCATTTTCTCTTGTTAATTGAAGTCTCGTGATTCTGGAAAGATTTATTTTCTTTCGCTTTTAATATTGTGATTAGTGGATAAATGTTTTATTTATTTTTGTTTGCGTTGTTGTCATCTGATTATGATCAAGCAGATCTCGGAATATCAAATTATTGAAATTGCGGAGAATGTTTGTAATTTAAAGAAGCAGGAAGCTGACTGGATCCTGAAAATTGACATTGTAGAGCAAGGTGATAGATTGGAGGTAATTATGGACTATTTCAATTTTCGGATTCATCTTTTAGCATATTATTAGCTTGTGCAGTGTTTAATTGATGCATGCTTCCAGGCTTTCGTCACTAATCTAGTGAAATCTGTTTTAAAAATGATACAATTAAAGGTCGTGTCATGTTAAAGTTTTACATAATCCCAGGGAAAGAGAAAATGATTATCCTGATAAAGTTACTGCTTTCATAAAGGACTAACTTAAGTGTTAGTTTGGATAAAATTCTAATGGTATTATAATGAAACGAGTAGTGGGTTCCATGAAATGTGTGGACTAAGTGGGTAGTAGTCATGAATGTGTGGTTAAATTGACTTTGACTTGAAACTATAATGAGATTTTAATTTTATCCAAACAAGTTAATATTCGGTGCTAGCTTGAGGTTTCTGACCTTGGAACTCTTCTGTTCAGCTCGTTGAACAGGACTCTGAAGGGCAATGCAGTTCAGAATGCAAAACAATAGAGCGAGCTTGTCAAGAGGTCAGGTTTCATAAAAGCTTTGTAGTTTTGGCGCCTATGAATTGCTGAATGTAACTTCCTATAAAGCATTAATATTCAATTTCTTCCACTCCTGGTCGACCTATTTTGAGTTTATCTACAATGTTCTTATTGTCACAAGTCTCTGAGAAAGCTCGACTTACAATTTGCTTTGGTACTTTTCGTGGCTATATGGTTTCTTTCAGTTGTTCTGTGTAATTGAGAACAATTAAATAGCATTTCTACATTTTATTGGATTCTTCTGATTTCTGACTTTTAGATATCTATATTTTCTCCTTTTCAATATTCCTTACGTTTGGGACAGTTTTAGGCATGGAATTCTGCAACTAAATGTCAAATCTGGAATTTTGCAGGTGTTGGGCTATTCTGATACTGATGTTGCAGAATACCTGTATAAAAACAAGCCAGACCTAGATTCTTTGGTAAAATTTATCTGTAAGGACCTTACCAACGCATGCAGCAAAAAGCCACCACCAATTCCTAAGGTGACTGCTTTGACCGTTGTGTGTCAGTATTTTGTGGTATTTTGTTACTTTTTATCGTTTTATACTCTTAGTCATTAAGTATCAAAATACTATTCATGACAACAGAATTGATGTCCTTCTTTTTCAAATGTTTCATGCCAATATCTTAACGTCTTACTCGTGTAGATTGCATCTGCCTTCTGATAAACCATGTCAGTTTGATAGCATCTTCAGAAATATCTTTTCTCCTTAGAATTGATAATTGATATACAAGAATTTCTTAATTTGAGATACCCCTTCTGTCTAGAATGACCTCCATTGACCTGCACAATATTTAGGAGACTTTATTAATTCCACATTTTTATCATTGAATCAAATCATTTGTTTCTATATATTGAACTTAGTCAAATTGTATTAAAATAGATTTGTCATCTTCAGCATATGCGGCAAGCAACCATAGTTTTTCTTATATTGTAAACACCACCGTCATTTCTTCTACTGCAGCTGTCCCGCTACCTTCAAATGCCTCCAAAAAATGATAAGGGGCAAAGGTCAGCACTGTCCACAGGAACAAAATTACAAACAGGCTCAATCGGGTATTGAGGTGTCTTAAGGCGTTTTTGAAGTACGCCTCAAGCCAAATCAATAACTGATTTAAAAGGACATAAAAATATAAAATGTTCATAATAAACCATCTTATAAAATTCACCAGAACAAATTATCAAAATTGAAAATCTATCCTTCTATATTGGAAGTCATTTTCCCGAAAATCTTGATTACTGGACAATGCAGAGTAATTTGCCTCGTTGACCCCATTGTGGATCCTTCTTTAACCTGAAGTGAACACATTAGAATAAAGGCAGTAGGCAAATTTCCCCAATGCTTCTGTTCTTCGGTATCAATGAGTGAGCATGCCCATAGTGTTTGAAAAATATGGCAACAAAATGGAACTCACCTTTTTCTTTTTTTCCAATTAGTTCAGGTAGCTAATGAATTATCCAAATACTGTTTTGAACTTATTTAGTCTTCTTGCTTTTGGTGCTAGGAAATGCATAGTTGATATTGTTTCTTTCGTTATCATTCATATTTGATCTTGATAATTTTTTATCTTATGGCCAAACTAGTCCTTTCATACAAAAAGGGGTATTGGGAAATGGGTGTTGGTTTTTATAGTTCTAACCTTCAATTCTTGATGGATGGTTTCTGTTCCTGTGACACTCCATCACTGCTCTGTATATATTTTTTTTGGTTTATAAAGGAGAAATATAATAAAATCTATAAAATTAAAAGCGAAAACTCCACTAGAAGTTCCAATACAAGATCTTGCGAAAAATCGACCACGAGTTCCAATGCCAGACCTTGCAATTCTTTTATGTAAGCTGTCAACATCTTTATCTCCCGAATTCTTGAAAATTCATATTATTATAATTATCCCCTGTTTGAGGACCATTATTTTGAAAAAATGGAGTTTTGGATAGTGATTTCTTGGAGAATGCGTGGTTAAAAAGTAGGGAAAAATTTTGGGTTTACATGTAAAATATTTTATTATGTAAATGTGTGTTTGAGAATGAGTACGAGAATTAAAGAGTTTTGAAATAATGGTTGTCAAACAGGGCTGATATACATGTCAAGCATTTGAAATGGAGACTTTGACTTCCAATTTAAATTTGTAAAGCATTGTTCCGTATCTGAATTAGCCTGGTGAAGCCAGAATCCTGCAGTGTCCACCTGGCAGCCTTCTCTAACTTTCAAAGGAAACCTAGAAGTTCGATGAAGTGATTAAGATAAATTGATATCGAGATACACGTAGGTGAATTACATTAGTTGGTTAATTATACTTTTACTAAAATAAATTTCTAGATCCACCCGTAACATTGATTAGATGGCCAACAACCACCACTACCTTCAAAGTAGTTCCTTCTGACTCAGTTTTCTTAAAAAGTAAATTTTAACTTCAAGTTTTATTCATTTAAAAAAAATAAGTTATCAATATGGTCTTCTTTTGGTTGTCTATCCAGCTGATTCTTGAAAGGATGATAAAGTTGAGTTTAATTCGATTAAAATTTGAATTTGTTGTACATTTAGGAATTTGTTTAGACATTTTTTTCTCGGAAGTTTTAACCTGTATATATTCTGTTCTTCAAATGCTCAATTATTACCATGTCTCTTGCCATAACACATTTTTGTTTTAGATGTGTATTAAAAAGGAATGTATCTACTTGTTTGCCACATTCATATGAGAAGAATGTCCTGGGACTTGGTACGCATAATTTTCCTTCTTTTTTGTTTTTATTTTTTTCCCTCTTCAGGATAGGACTCCTGGAGAACCCTTTATTGCCAAGTCCTCAAAAGAGGCTGAAATGGAGAAACTATTAAAATCCATGGAGGTACTTATGCATATTTACAAATATAGAATTGTTTTGGCTTCCTGTTCAGACTTTTAAACTAACTCTTAATCCCTCATTCAGGGTATGCCAGGAGCACCCAGCATGAAAATGTACTCAAGGGAAGACTTGATGAACAATATGGGTGATGTAGATGCAGAAGATGAAGATGAAGATGAGGAAGCAGACTTCCCCTCAAAATTGGTACTAACGAGAACTTCATATATTAATTCAAAAATTCAAACTATGCAAAATGCTAAGCTTCTATCAAACATTGCGACAGGGAAAAGTCTTGAGAGAAAAAGATAGTAAGAAGTATGATTGGAAGCAAGGGATCACTAAAGGAGTTGTAGACACAGGCAAGAAATTGAAGAATCATGCTAACAGAGTTTCAAATCGGATAAGACAGTGGTGGAGAGGCAAGAAAACAATCTTGAAGAACAAAAGTTCGAAGTCCAATAAAGCCGAGCTCTAGGCATGAGATTCATGTAAGCAAACAGCAATTCATTGCCCTTTTTCTTTTCACTCATTTTTATTTTTTATTTTGATGCCTTTTGTATTTCCTAGCACAATTGATAGCCCGTGTCATCAATTTTGGTATTTCTCAATTTTTTTTTAAAAAAAACTGGGTTTTTCTGACTGGCTTTGGATCTAGTTGTGGTTGCTATTTGTAACTTCAAAATGTGTTGCTTTAGACATGAATGTAGCTGTCAGCAGCAAGTGGTAGACTATTGCCTTTGTTTCTTCATTTGATTAGATTTTCGTACTCAAATACTTGTGTTGATGGAGATTGCGAGGAAGCAGATACAATTTTGTTCAGACTCAGACGATATCGACTTTGGCCTAGGAAAATCTAGTTTCCAATCAATGTATTTCTCACCATCAGCTTAACTTTAGATAAGGCGATTGAACACAAATCATTTTTCAATTTTCATGGCTTATCATGAAGTATTCTAGTTACTCGTGTCGGAGTTTGCATAAGACAGTGGTACCATAAAGTTCTATCTATAATGATGTATGGTTAATCTATGATGTTTGAAACGTTCCAAGTCATTTTGCAGTTTTTCAATTTTTCAGGTACTTAATTGCTAATATATGGAACTGTGCTTTTTAGCTGGAAAAACGATAAATTCAATGCAGTTTGTGAAAAATAGGGTCACCATTTGCTAAGAAACCAAATTGGGTCATATTTGCAATCAATGAGAAGACCAGGGACTAAATTGCAAGGTTTAAAGCTTTTTATGCTCTCCTTCTTCTTCTTTTTTTCCGAATTTGAGACTCACTAGTGTCAGATGATGTGATAATTATACATTTTGGATTCATAAAATAATATTCCATATGTTCTCATATAAAAATGTCAAATTAGAGATTTATTTCGAGTCAATCAATTTCATGGTTCGATCTGTGAAATTTGGATCTTGAGGGTTATACTTGTTCAAGTTGATTAGTGGTAATACAATCGGCTAAGTCTTACTAGATCTGTTCCGACCAAAATGGGAATGGCTACAAATCTTAGTACACAAGTATGAATCTTATCCTCGCACAACCTTAACTCGATGATGTAACTAATGGATTGTTTGAACTACTCATATGACGTCCCTCGATTACTCATATAAGGTTCGTAGGCTTCATTTCTATGGTTTGAAGTAAGACATTACGTGCCTGAAACTAGAAAGAGGATAGTCGATGTAGTATACCAATGAAAAATAAAATGTTAAAGATAATTGCAAACTTAAATTATGGGAAAATAAAATGTTAAAAATATATTGTTTGTTTAATCCCAAAATCAACAAAGATTTTAATTTTGTTCGTTCTTGCGCTCATGCTACCCAAGCTCAATATCGCAACCGAAGCTCAGGAGCTACGCTCTAAAGTTTGACCGTAGACTTTTGAAATCGAGACACACTTACTTGAAGTTGGGTAATTAAAATACTACATAAATAACAACTTCGGATGATCAACAATATTTTGTTTAAACATATTGTAAACAAACGTCGTGCCTCATTAAGTAAGGAGAAGGAGACAGAGAACACGTGGACATGTCCCGAATTTTCTCAAAACAAAAAAAAATAATAATATAAAAAAATAAACGAGACAGAAAATTAAGATATTTTAACATGAATCCCGACAATTGGATCACCTTAAAAATATTAAAGTAGCTATAATTTTATAATTATAATAAAAACATGATAAATTATATATTCCTAAACTGCTGAACACGAATTATGGTTATGGAAAAGGAGCTTAAGATACGGCGGAATTGATGCTGTCACTTTCGGCCTAAAAATGTCTGCAAGGCTGTCTCAATTTTTGTGAGAGAGATTTTCAGCTAGATACAGAAAGAGAAAATAAAGGGTGGAGAAAGAATCGCTTCCCTCGGCACATCATCAACCACATTATTATATAACTATATTCACGAATATAGAGAGTGAAACATATAGATACAGGGAAAATAGAAGGGTGTTTGAGGGTAGAGGGAGAGCCGACGGCCATGGCAGAGTCGAACGATTCGGTTTCTGTCAATGTGGAAACAATCTACCTTGGAGGAAAGGTTATATTTCTATCTATCTATTGGTTCACATTTTGTTCATAAATTTTTATATCTAGGTTTTGCAACTCGAAGTCTATTAATTGCTCGGTTTGCTTTTAATTGATGTCTAATAATGGGTTTCTTTAAATGGAGTTTGTTCTATTTTATTCATTAGGTTCAAGCATTTTTATTTATATTTATTTTTGTTTGAATTTTTGGTATGAAAATCAAAGAGATGAAAGGATCTTGTCTGCTGTTTTATCAGGTTGATGAGAAATCTTGAATTCAGTTGGCTAAAAATGAACATTATTTTAATTTTCCATTTCTTGAATTCAACATTTTTCTTCTTCTGATTACTCAATTTCATTAGTCATGATGCTTGCTAATCATCCTTTTCTTTTTCCATGTCTTCAGTTAAGAAACATAGCATCAATTTAACTCGTTAGTCCTTAACAAACAAAGAACTTCTTTAGACAAATAAAAGTAATAATTCAAAACAAAAGCGTAAGCAGTGAAGTCAAGAAAAGTTGCATCTACAGAATTGAACTTTAGTCAATTCCATAGAATTCAATACTTTCTGCTTCAAGAAAAATCAATGCACAGAAAACATTTACGAAATGCATGTAGCAGTATTTAAAATTCAATATTTTTTGCTTCATTATTTCTTTTACAATATCATTGACATTGAGGACAAGTTCGCTTATTCTCACACACATAGTGCAGGGTCGAAAACTACCAAATGAGAGAAGGGATGAAGAAGGGTATTTTAGCAATACTCTACCTAAACTGAAACTTTTTGCCATTTTAAAGAAATGTAACATGTCAGCCGTTTATTATTTCCTCTCTTCTATTTGGTCATGTTTAGAAATTTTCCTCTACTGCCTTTTGGTCCTTTTCTTCTGTGCAAATCTGGTTGGTACAGCAGCAATTTCAGTCTTATTATAATTTTCAACAATGTGAGTATTATTACTTTTCTTATTGTTAGTAAACTGTGCATGTAATTGTGCTTATATTATTCTTCACCCAGGAGCATATTATACGGACTGGCCAAGGTTCTCTCTCAGTTATAGTTTATGGAGACCAAGATAAGCCAGCTCTGATCACTTATCCAGATTTAGCTTTAAATCGTGAGTGATAAGTTTGCTCCGATAGTAATTGTGGTTCATTTTGATATTATCTTTAGTGACAATATTTAGCTTTAAATTTTTGAGCGGTGAGTTTTCTTTTAGCTGCAGTTTGGTAAGAATTTTCTTTGGGATGTTATATTTCATGCAGATATGTCTTGTTTTCAAGGATTGTTCTTCTGTCCTGAAGCTGCTTCTTTGCTGCTTCACAATTTCTGCATTTACCACATTAGTCCACCTGGGCATGAGGTCTGTAATTTGGCCAACCCGTCTGTGATTGTGTAAATACTTTGGCATCTTTCCCGTATCAGTTGTTTAGTGACTGTATTACACATGTTTCTACTGCATTTTATAAATCATGTTTACTTTCTTGTGGGACTTCATATGAGCTCTTGCAGTTGGGAGCTGCAGCACTTAATCCTGAAGATCCGGTGCCTTCTGTTGATGATTTAACTGATCAGATTCTTGAGGTTTTAAATTATTTTAGGTAATCATACACTTCATGAATTTTGACGGGATATTTTTATTGCTTGTGTTCTAGTTTTTTAGATTCAAGTCAGAATGTGATACTAAAGTGGAAGGTAAGACATGATTTGGGAGTACTGAGCACAAGTATATGAGAAATTGCATAGTTATCTTAGAACTAAGGATATGCCGTGAAAGTTCACAAGTTATCTCTGATATGAGGGAGAAGGGAAATAAATTTAAAGCAAGTTAATGTATTAAAAACCAAGTTAAGTGCATTAAACATGTAAATCAAAGAGTTTCTCTTCAGAGTGATGAGATTACATATCGATAAAAAAATTACTTCAACAGCTCATTTAATGTAAGGTAATAAAGATGCCATATGAACTGATTAAAGGTGTTATAGTTTCTACTCATAAGAGTAAAAGAGTTTAAAGATCGTTTTAATTATATAGGTGTTCATGAATCATACTATGAAATTGCGGAAGATGGTTATTGTTACACCCCAACATTCAAATCCTTAAAATATTGTACCGTATGTTTAAAACAAACCATGCAATGAATTTTAACTTGAAGTGGATATCAATTTTTTTATAGATTAAAACAATAAATCTTTTTGTAAAATATTGTTGAATCACTCGATTTAAAAGCTTAAGCTATTAGATAAGGCCAAATTTATATATTTTAAATATTGTCGCAAAAATACATGGATAATAATTGCAAGTACTGATGATCTTTACTTCACATCCGGGGTACAATGACACTCACGTGCCCGAAAGGTCTTATATAACAACATCAGTGGTCATGAAATTTATTTCTATCTCTAGGAATTAAGTTTGAACTTATTAAAATAAACATTCACACCCTTAGACCACCTTACATATATCTCAATTATAATAAAAAACAATGTATTTCCTTCCCTTTTCTTAAACAACTCTTCAACTTCAATTAATATTTATATGTCCCCAATTACAACTTGAAATAAAATTGTATCTAACACAATTTATCACCTTGCTAGTCAGTTTAGCTTGTTTCAATTGACGTATAATGTATTAATAACTATAGGCATGATCAAACCAGTAGAGGTCAAAAGCATGTATCTGTTGGGGAAAAAAAATGAAAGGCAAAGTACAAAATCTGTATACATTCTGTTATCCATTCTCTTCCAAATATTTACCACACATAACCAACGTTTAAAGGAAGATCTAGACACCAAAAATAAAAGAAAATTTCATCCCTGCATCAAGTTAGGTGTTTAAGATTCAACCTATTCAAATTTAGAAATTTTATAGAGCAAATCCAGACTCAACCTTTCCACAAAATTGTCATCAAGGTTTTTATTTCCTTTTATACTGAAAGACCCAATTTTGACTTCTTAATTTAGGATTAATTTGAATATTGTTAAACCTTTCCAAATTTGTACTGTATGGTAGTTAGTGCTTGTTTATAGAGCTAAGGAAAAGAATTGCTAAACAAAACCTAACCTTTTAGTTCGCTTGTGAGAGCTTGTACTTCTCGTTGTCCGTGCTTGGAACTTTCCCCATATTAAATACAAGGAAACTTGAAGAAAATCCATTTCTTGAGGAAACTTGAAGATAAGAATTAGGATTATTAAATTCATTTCTAGCAAGCTATATTTGGCTTGTTATTTTAAAGTCGCCGTTTAATAATTTGTCAATCCGATAGATGAGTTTCGAAGAAACCAGACCGTTGGGAAAATTCCTGGCTCTACCACTGCTGAGAGTGATCATTTTAGATATTAAGTTTTGATTATTAATGTGGAGGACTTGAAGATGGTGATACATGGAATTACGGTACTAATAAAATGAAGAAGTATTACAAGAATACTTTTTGGTTGGAAGATACCAGCTAAAAGAGTAAGTTCTATAGAAAATTATTAGACTATGTTCTATGGTGCTAAGTGTTGGACATTTAATTGATGAAGTATTCATTATGGACGTAGCTAAATGAGAGTATTAAGTTTGATATGTGGTTATACTAAATAGGTAATGTAAGATTGAGAATAAATTAGGGAAATAAAGTTGTTCACAAGAGTGATGAGACTGAAATTTACTTGGTTTGATGTGGTTGCAGAGGATTTAATTTCTTTGTAATAGATCTCATGGTAGACTTAGTAATGGATCAGACGGACCGCCTCCAAATTTATCAAAATAAGGCTTAGTTGCGTTCCATTTTATTGATGGACTTTTTTGCTTTTTACTATCGATTGTTGCTACTTGATAAAACCATTGTTAGGAAACTGTTCCTAATAAGACGAGTTTTAATTTGTTCAGGCTTGGTGCAGTGATGGGCATGGGCGTGACGGCTGGTGCTTACATCCTCACCTTGTTTGCTGTACGGTTTATTTAGCTGTTCAGCAATGTACTCCTGATCTTTTAAACTTTAACATCTGATTGAGGTGTATGTCACAGATGAAATACAAGGAGCGGATTCTTGGTTTGATCCTTGTTTCCCCTCTGTGCAAAGCTCCATCTTGGACTGAATGGTTCCATAACAAGGTAAAATTTATTTCCATTTATATAACTCTTACATTACTAAAAGGAATTCCCAAGTGAATGAGATCATTTAAAATGTGTAGGTGATGTCAAATTTGCTATATTTCTATGGTATGTGTGGGCTACTGAAGGAATATTTACTTTCTCGGTATTTCAGCAAGGTAATTTAGTATTTATTTTCAGTCATCGCCTTTTCACCTCTCCACGATCTGTCAATCTTTCCTTTTAGGATATTTCCTAATATAGATTTTTCTCTTACTTGTACCAGGAAGTTCGTGGCAATGTTGAGGTTCCAGAATCAGATATAGTTCAAGCATGCAGAAGAGTTACTGCTTCAATGCCATCTTTCTTTCCTTTTTTATTTATTTTTTTGTGTTTTAGACTACAATTTTTGGAGCTTAACTTGTATGTAATTTCTTTTAAATTGTTTTTTGCTTTTTTCAGTTGCTAGATGAGAGGCAGAGCGTAAATGTCCTGCGGTTTCTACAAACATTAGATAGGTATAAGTAGAAAGCTGAGCTTTACTTAGAATTCCATTGTTTGATTAAAAACTCACCCCCTTAAGCGTCATTTTGCCAATGAGCAGGAGATCAGACATCAGTGAAGGTTTAAGAACACTTCGATGCCGAACGCTGATTTTCGTTGGAGAGAACTCTCCTTTCCAATCCGAAGCTCTTCACATGACTGCTAATCTGGACAGAAGATGCAGTGCCTTAGTTGAGGTATGAAATAAACACGTTCAATGTTATGCTTGTTGACCTAAAAAACTTGAAGCCAACAAGTCCCTTGCCACCTCCTTGTCGAATTGCCCTTCTATAGCCTTTTTCTGGTCATTTGGAGCACCTTGAGAGCTACTTTATTGTGAGAATTCTCCGTCAAGTAAAGGCTAGAAGATGAAGAGCAAGAATTTGTTTTTCTAATTTCACTTGCTTTTCTTATGACATTCTTGGGTATTTATAGATATCTCAAGCCTATGGGCTTTTTAGCCTTTTTACTTCTCCTGGACATGTCACCTCGCCATTGGGGGATTCTAAACATATTTTGATTCCAGATAGTTTCATCTCTGACAAGTGGTGTTCACCCATTGGTTAGGTCGTTACTTTCATTTGATTCTTAAGATCATCTTTTCTACATGCTCCACTAATAGTTTTGCCACGTGGAAGCTCCTCTTTGCTGCTACGTGTCTAAGAGGGTATTTGTTTGCTCCCTATAAGGGGACAAGGTTCCTGAGTGTCTCTAGCTTCGATTGGTGCATCTTTCTGGGATCCAAATGACAAATTGGTTAGCTTATAAAAATTCGGCCCATTAGGCTGAGACAAGTCAACCTCTTGATTAAATCATGGATGAGTTCCGTGAGTTCAAAGGTTTGCCCCTGTCTAGCAAAGCCTTTGGAGAAATGGTCTTATAGCTTCGCCATGGCCAAGCTTAGCCTGTCCTTATTTTCCACTGACGTAGTTTTGGTTGGCCGCGTGGCTTCCTTCTTTATACATGGTTCCAGTCTGGCATCCATGTGCGACTATTTTGTGCAACCTGGAATCATGTAGCAACAATGCTATCCTTATTTAAGGAGGCAAGAACGTTATCTCTCTATTTTAGCCTTGTGTGACATATTGATACATTGAACACACTCAAATCGTCTAGAAAAAAGTTTTCTTAGTTGCCCAGGTTCTTGTATATGTTTAATGAAGACAGAATTTCTACTTGTTATTTAAAGTTGTGGGCATTTTTGTAAAGAAAACTGATTTGACTATAACGTGCCTCTGCATTAAAGAACTAGATAAATTCCATCAATGGCTTGTTGGGTAAGATGGACTTTACTGCACTATACCGCATTAAGAAAGAAAACAAGCTAAATTCTATTCACCATAGAGTCTGGTACTGTCTGATACTGCTCACCAGATGCCAAATCTATGTTGACGAAATAATTGTTGTGAACAGGTACAGGCTTGTGGATCAATGGTGACGGAGGAGCAGCCTCATGCAATGTTAATACCGATGGAGTATTTTCTCATGGGATATGGTCTGTATCGACCAGTTAAGATTAGCGGGAGCCCAAGGAGTCCTCTTTCTTGCATAGCACCTGAGCTTCTCTCTCCAGAAAATATGGGACTCAAGTTAAAACCAATCAAGACTCGTCTCTCTACACAAAGATGACAATATCAGTTCAATGTTACTCTGTAAAGCAAAAGTCCTCGTAGTCGGCTTTTATTTTTTATTTTTCCTCACTTTTTTGGCATTGTTTAATTGGTTGGGTGAGAAGAGTAGAAATGCATTCTAGTTGATAGAGAAGATGTATTCTTTATTGGACATAGGATTGGGAGTATTGGATTATTATTCATTCATTTGCGGGTTTTTGTAAAGATTCCAAAGGGAAACATTTATAATTCTCAAGAAATTGGGTTTTTGTATTTCTGTCATTTAAGTTCCCAACTTTCAATTTTGTAGCATAGGTACTTGTCAACGAGGAAAATCCCAATAGTTTCCTAAACAAACATGTACATACCACGAAGAAAAATGAACAATTTACATGACACGTGTCTAGATTATTG